TGTCATAAAAATACATAGGAGAAACCTCAAGGAATCTAAATAAAAGATTATATGAACACAAAAGGGACATTTTACAAAATAATACATCAAATGCTTTAGTTGCCCACCGCAACGAGACTGACCACAATTTCAACATATAAAAATTCTACCATGATCAAAGGAGAAAATCATTCATTACAACGTAAATGTCTAGAGGGTACCTTAATCGCAAGGTCATCTATAGTAAATTTTTGCCCTGGCTCTTACAACATTTCACCATTCCAAACAGATCTTCATATATAACAGTGTGTAATACTTACAAAATGATGGAAAGAAAAAAAATAGTTCTAAATGAATTCGTCTGGAAAAAAAATCTAAAATTCACAGCAAATCGCCGTGCGTATGTGTAGTCCTACTAACATAACAAAATTAGTCCTGAAGGCCGAAATGCGTCACAAGTATTTTTTCCACTTAAAAATAAATGTCATAGGTTTGCCTTTCGCTTGGTTCAAACCTCTGTTTTTTTTTTTTTTTTTTTTTTTAACAGGTGTAGAATTTTAACCCTTATTTCCTGTCTGAGATTGGGTTTCCGGTCTCTACTAAAGTTTTCTCATTCTCTTTCACTCCCAGTAGCTCTCCTTGTGTCTTAGTGGCATTATCGCTTTGTTTAAGATGAATTGAGTAATGTATATTGTTATACTCCGAGCGAATACGCCTATACGTGAATACATGTGAGAACGCAACCTGGTACTAGAGGAGACAGCAAAATCGCTGTGTTTGCTATTTCTCTGCTTGTAGACCTCCGGGCAGAGAGGAATCCAGACGAGACTCTGCCCTTCGGCATAGCCTCGTCTGGGTTCTTCTCTAGGAAGTAAACAAACCCTACTCCGTTATTTCGGGGTCTACGGGGAATTCTTGCCGAGCCTACGAGCTCGGAATCGCTCCGCTTTAAAAAAAAATGGCCCTGTGCACCATACCGCCTTGTGGGAAGGTCATGAGTAAATACCGAGACAGCAAAACCTGTGAGTTTGCTGGTGCTCGGCTTGTCGACCTCTCTGCCTCCGGGAAAGAGGAACCTAGGCGAAGCTATGCCGAAGGGGAGAGTCTCCTTTAGGGAAGTAAGTTACCCGACTCCGTGTATACGGGGTCTACGTGCAATTTTTACCCGAGCTTACGAGTTCGAAATCTTCCCACGTAAACTAACCGACCTTGTGCCACATCCCGCTTTGTGAGGAGGTCTTGCGTAAATACTGAGACATCAAAAGCCGTATTTAGCGGGCGTCTAAGAAAATACAGTCGTAATCTGCAGCTGCACTTGCTCTAAGAGTGACTGAATTCAACTAAGCAATAGACACATTGCAACAGTGGCGACAAGACGACATTGTAGAAATTAGAAGAAAATAACTTTTCTTTTTATCTACCAAAATGGACCAACAGCTAATTTTCCAATGGCGAATTCAGGTTTTGGAAGCGTTCTTAAGCGAGAAAGAAAAGATTTCGAGTCCAACGCATTCTGTTTCAAATGTAATTACGCTCTGGAGGATAACATCATGTTTAAGGTATATTTTCGACGTTTTGAGGATTTCTTGAAAAAAGAATGTGCTGGGTGGACTGAAGGGGAAAAAAATGCGAATACTACTGAAAAATCTGGGAACAAAAGAACACGAAAGGTACTGTCATTTTATATTGCAAAAAAAAAAAGGTGACGTTGATTATAAAAATACGGTAAAAGTTTTGACAATTTGGGGCGAAAAAATCTGTTTTCCATACCCGATATCAAGTCTTCAACTTGAAAAATAAGAGGCGATTTTCCACATATGCGAGAATAGTGAACAAAGAATGTGAAAAGAATAAATTAACAGATTTAACAGAAAAAAACTTTTCAAATGTTTAATTTTCGTGTTGAGCCTGAAGTCCCACAAAAATAATGAAATAAGGACAAGAATGTTAGGAAAGCTTGAAGAGGACCCAGGGAGAAATTTACAGACGATGTCTGAAGAGTGTCAAAGGTTAATAAATTTAAAACGTGTCATGTGTCAGACTGAAGAACCTGAAGAAATAAAAATAGAGGTCGAAGCAATAAAAAATACGACAAAAAAAAAAAGTAATACTACACCGTATTACGGTAATGGGGGAACGAATTTCCGGAAAAAAAAAATCCCGTTTAAAACAAACGAATGTTTCTGTTGTCATAAGCTTGGACAGAAAAATGATTTCTGCAGGTTGAAAAATAAAGAATAATAACCTTGCTAAAGGAAAAGATTTTGTGAAAGTAAATCTCGCTATTCAGAAAAGAAAAAAAATACTTTGAATAGAAAATTTATTCGTGTCTACATGAACAATAGACCCATGATCCTACAATTAGATAGGAACTTTGATATTACTATAATTTTGAAAGTTACTGGAAAAAATAGGTGCACCGAAATTTAAAAAAAAAAAAAAAAACATTAAAAAACTACTAACTTTTGAGTTTGCGGAGTCGCGTTTTGACCCTTCATTGGAAATAATAGTAGCTGCTGCTGATGCTAGTGAATACGGTATCGGAGCTGCATTATTACAACAAAAAAAAAGATGGAAAAACAAACTGCTGTTACTAATGTGTGAATAACTTTGTTACCGGCGGAAAGAAATCATAGTCAAATTGAAAAAGAAATATTGGCAATAATTTTTGCAATAAAAAATTTTCACAGAATATTGTAGCGAATCATGGGCTTACGTGTTGTTAAATTAGAAACACGTGTGTAAGGAACACGATCAAAAAGGTCAACGCCGAAGTGTCCTGCTTGTTCCCGTTTGGTGAGCGGCCAAAAGCGGCCAAAAGCGGCCGCGACAATATTACACGATAGAAAGTTTGTAGTAAAAACCGATGATAAACCACTTTTGTAAAATATACATCTCACAAAAAAGGCATTCCTGTACATTCGACAAACCACCTATATTGATGAGCTACCATATTTGCTAGGATAGGATTTCACTATTGAATATTTGCCATATAAAGAAATGGGATGTAAGGATGGTCTGTCGTGATTAATAGCTAAATGTGGGTCTTTATTTGAAGATCCTCTCATTGCCTCGATAAAAGCTGAGGAAGAAATAAATAACTCTATGGAATACAATAAGAGCGTTATCAATTACGAAAGAGAGTGTGCCGGACTTCACCACATTAATTTAACTTTTGATTAGGAAATAAGGCTCCCGTAAGAAGAATAACCAAAAGACATTTTAACACCTAAAACATGTATTTTAACAAGAGATACAATATCAAACAACGATGTGAAAGAAAACATGCATATACGTAAGAAAGGTTGAATTAACCAAGAGTTGCCTCTCTTTAACTGTTATTTTAGTGTATAGTTATTTGGTTTAAGATCCACAGGAAAATGTTCATGAGAGTCTCTTGTAATGATTGTTTTTGAAAGATATTGCTGTGTAAGAAGAGCTTTTTGTGAGTGTGTACAAGTTATATTCAGCGTGTGTGTGTGAGTGAGAAGGTTGACGCATGGTTTCAACTGTCGTGGATTCATTTGACAGTTGAGTTCTCACTAATTGAGATGAAAAATAGTTGGCTTAAATAAGCGACTATAGGTTCCAAATCGTTGCGCGGGATGAATTATTCTTCACGTGCAAGCGATCTGATTGGTTAGCATCGATCAATCAGCGAGCAAGCGAGATTTGGAGAGACTTAAGAAAGCTTCTGTGAATCGTTTCTCCCAGAAGTGCACAACATTGACTACTTAAAATTAGACCAATTACAAAATTGTCGCATTACTGCGATTTGTAAATCGCCTGTAGGATTATAGTGGTCATTTATTAATTAATGAATGCTTGGCATTGTAAATGTAATTTGTATGTGTGTATGTATGTATGTATGTTCGTGCGTAATAGATCCGCACAAGGATATTAAGAATGAATCCCAAAAAGACGACAGTATTATAAAAATATGAGTGATTATATGAGCAGTGGTAAAAAAGGAAAAACAGATTAATTAAAAATTTTCGGTTATAAGGAAAAAGTTATATTCCATATGTGATAAATGTTTAATGTTTGAAGAACGAGTAGTAATACCAGAGACTTTTCAAAAACAAATATTGAAACACCCTGGGATATCTCTCATGAAAGCATTGATACGAAGTTACGTACTGGAATGGTATGTATCAGGATGTCGAAGATCTAGTGAAGACTTGCCAAGACTATGCTTTAACAGCTAAATAGCCACCATTAAAAATTCAACCTTGGTCCAAAGCGAAAAAGCCATAGTCCAGGTTACATATAGATTATGCAGGACCAATGAATGGTTGGTACTATTTAGTAATAGTAAATAGTTTTATTAGTGGCCAGAGACGGTAAGGTGTAGCAGAGCGACAACCAGGGGTACCATTAAAATATTACGAGATCTGTTTGCCAGATTTGGAATTCCGGATACAATAATAACAGATAATGGTACACCGTTTACGGAAGTTGAATTCAAGGAATTTGCAGAGAACAGGCCGTTGAACATGTAACAACGCCACCGTACCACTTGAGATCAAATGGATGCGCAGAAAAAATTGTAGATCCTTTTTAAAAAGCTTTAAAAAGATCAAGGGGAGAGAGGAGGTGGAAGACATACTTGATGGTTTCAAACCCAAACACACTTCATAGTACTCTGCCAGCAGAAAAAATGGTTAATCGGAAATTAACGTCAGCATTTGATAAACTGTTGCCGACGAGTAGACTGATAAATAAAATTGCAACCTTTTTCAAAAAGGCGAAACAGTATTATTTCGGATTTACCAAGTATGTAAACAAAAATAGTAAACAAGAAGGATCTACAAACGTATCAGCAACGGTGGTGTATTTGAATCAGGGGAAATGGCCTCAATTAAGATCCATGAAATCAAAAGAAAGGGGGTCAGACATTATTATGGGAACCGGAACGACAATGTAAATTTTTTCCTGACACCCACTGCAATTGTTAAAAACAACCGTTTTTTTTGTTTGTTTTTTTTTTTTTTTTTTTTAACGGGGGGAGAGTATTATACCCCGAGAGACGAGGTGGACACGCCCGCACGTGTAGAAACGTGAGAATGGAACGTGGCACTAAGGGAGATAACAACACCCGTATTTAGCGGTCGTCTGAGAAAATACAGTAGCAATCTCATTCTAAGAGTAACTGAACTCAACTAAGTAATAGACATAACTCTCACTTTCTCTTTCTCTCTCTCTCCCTCTCTCTCTCTGTATATATATATATATATATATATATATATATGTGTGTGTGTGTGTGTAACTGTCATATAGGAAGAAAATGAGTAACCACCGATGTTCGAGCGTAACACTCTGTTTTCCACCAGGTGTATAAATAGAGATGTCAGGCTAGTGACTGCAGTGATTATTGAGTGACTATTGAGTGGAACTATCCAGTCGAATTAGTGTGAATTATTCTGCATCGATGATTTGGGTTTTGATTTAGGATTTACCGAACGTTAACCAGAGCCGTGTCACTAACAAGGCATTCACTGAAATGGTTAATTATCTTTGGTTGACTTTTAGTTCTTTGTTATTGTTAAGTATTTATTTGCGGTTGTAATTAAATACTCTTTTACTTTAACATTGAAGTTTTGAGTTATACTTAATTATTTACGGCCACCGTACGTCAGAATATACATATATATGATAAAAATATTTTTAAGGTATGCGATATTTATAGGTAAAAGTATTCGCTCCGTGTGTAAATATATTGGGGTCAATAAATAGGAGCGACAGACTGTTTCATGCTTGAACGCAATATTCATGGCCAGGAAATTGCGTGGAACAGATTGTCGCCGCATGATGCTAACTTCAGTGTGTACACACACACACACACACACACACACATATAAAACTAAAACCCAGATATGAATGTTACGAACTACTGTATCTGGAGTATACTTCTAACTTATTTGCAAAACCGTTGTGGTGACATCGTCGATATTGATTGGTTGAAGCGGAACTTAACTGAAGCTTGTAATTAAATTCCTCTTGCTACGCTTACAACTTTGTGTTGAACATTCAGGCAAACAATTCTAACATCTACGATGAGTGTTCAGTTTGGGCATGAATCATGATACCTAAATTTCTTTGTGAATTTACTGGGAACTATATATATATATATATATATATATATATATATATATATATATATATATATATATCATATATATATTTTATATAATCATATATATATATATATCATATGTGATATAATTTACTTTTATTAACCTCGATTTAGCTCTGTTGAGCGAGGTTCGAAACCGGTTAGCTAGCCCGTTTTTTTATTTTTACTTTTTATTATCGTCATGAGTGGCAATAATAAAATTAATTTTTGTCTGTTTATGGCAGTGATAAAGTTTTGTACCACTAAACATCTCTTTAAATATATATATATATATATATATATATATATATATATATATATATATTACATGTTCGCATAACATATTTGTATACTTAAGTTTGTATATAAAGTATTTTTCATTTTGGAATTAACTTTTGATTAAGTTTTTCTAAGTTTTTCTTTTTATCATGTTAAGGTTTTCATATAACACGAATATACTAATGCCTATTGTGAACTGTGGAGAAGACCAATATATTTCTTCTCTCTTTCCAAGTACTCTATTATGTCTTTTCTTGGAAATGATCCAGCTGCTAGAAGAGACGAAAGTCATGCTAGACTTTAGCATCACTTTTGTCTTTTCTAGCTTTTTTTCTTTCCGAACAGATTCCAAAATCTGACACTCATCATTTCGATTATATCCAAGCCAAAGATTTTGGGATATCTCCTCGAGTTATATACCTTTTAAAATCAATTTCTCTTTGTTTAGACTTGTGTCGAAAATTTCCCGCCCTTGTCTCTGTAGTGATTAGTGGTGCTGGAATCTGCCTTCGGTAAGACGTTAATGGCATGATAGTTAACTGATGACTGCAACAGCGCAAATCTATTAAGTTAGAAACGTAGTCGCGGAATTAATTACAAGCTAAAAGAATTATCATAGTTCTTGCAGACAAATTTCGCTAATAAGATTCGGAATCTATGAAACGATATGATTTGAAAATTCCAATGATTTCGCAGACCGACTAAATACGAAATTACAGTTCTTCGGTGAAATCCAGTACCAACGTCTCACCTGGTTTGTCGACCAATAGTTATTCTATCTATGGCGTTAATTCTCTTTTATACGGTTAAATATTTATCGTATTAAACAAAAATACATATACCCCAAATAAATTTGATTTGCATCACCAAGAAAGTTAAATTCGGGAAGTTAAAGTGAAGTTTGAAAAATATCTGATGGGGTCTCCTTCTTTGTTTTATTATTTCTTTCTGTTTTACATACATACGTATCAGATAGAATATTGCAAAATTAATCATCATTGTCCTTCGGTTCTGAAAAAGCTTTTCTCTTGCAATTCATCAAGGGATTCGATCGTGCCTCCACAAGTTTGGACGCGCAGAGTCTGAAACAGTAAGGGTACTTGAAGTCGGTGGTTGACACAACTCCAATGATACCTGGTTGTGCTGTTTTCTTTGTCGATTTCTTCGAGGTTTTCAGAGGTCACAAGGACAATTGTTGGGTCACAGTCGGATCTCTTTGTAGCATAAGTAGATATCTTTATATTATTACTACCCTCGTTTCCCCTACTTTTCTTTTAGTCGCAGTACACAGGAATTTCTTAACCTCAGTCGAACTCTGATGAGAAAGGTACGAAAACCGGTCAGCTGCTCTGAACATTTTTTTTATCTTTTTCGGGTCGCCACTTATATTAGTTGTATTTTCTTTTTGTGCAATTTCCTCTTCTCTTTCAAAATATGTTTTCTATAGCACTGATTAAATTGTGCCCCTCCAATAAGATCAATCATTTTGAGTTCTTCCTTTTGTAATAAAAAGAAGAATGCTTCAAGTATTTTGAGCCTTTCATTATAATGAGGGCTCTATTGTATTTTAGTATTATCTGTACAGATAAAAATTAACAGTCTGTTTCTTTGCTATCGACTAAAGAACTAATGATTGTATTTCAACAAAATGTGGCAGACTGTGGCCTAGGGAGTGTCATGGGCTAAGTAAATATTTCTTCCAACATAAAAATAGAGTAGTCAGGGAGGTAAATCAGCTTCTAGCAGCAATTTAATGCAGGGTTACTTCCCTTGGCTATTTTAATAATCTATACAAATAAAATGAAGTCTGTGTATTTCTTTTTTTTATTTAAATAAAAGTAGTCCCTGAGCAATGCCGGCCACCTTTACTAGTCTACTAATATTTTTTTTTATATTCAACATTCATAATTTGGCTTCTTACAGTCGTTATATGTACAAATAGCATATAAGAATTCGATATGTGGCAAGTTAACCTACGAGAGTATGTGGTGGTTCTATAGCCAATATAAAAATTTAATGTTGTTCTGTTATCATTAGTGCTAGATATGCAATCCTCTAAATGGCACAAAAATTCATTAAACAATTTTTTTTATGAAAAAATGATTTTTGTTGTATTTGGGGGCTTGTTTTTGTGATTACAATAATGCTTTGGGAAACGAGTTTAATTCATTCCAAGACCGAACTTGTAACTCAAAACACACGTATCTCAAATCAATTTTCCCCTATTGAAATTAATGGGAATATTTCTGATCCGTTCCAGGTCCCTAAAAATCACCCTTATTTTTCTAAAACTCACCCCCTATTTTTATATTTCTGTGTTTCTTACAAGAAAAAAAAACGTGCGAATAAGCAAGAAATGTAGTTTCAAACAATAAAATAAAAGAGAAAAAACAAATTTTAAAGAAATAAACTGTACTAAACCATGAAGTTTAGACGAGTCATAAGCCAATTGGCGGAGAAGAGAGATAGAGGGGGGGGGGACAACAATAACTAGCCTAGCAACCGCTAGCGTAGCAACGGCTAGCCTAGTATATTATACTAAAGATTAACTTTATTTCTTAATTTTTAAAAATTTACATTTTATCCATTACTGTAATTAATTTTTTAAATTTTATAATTTTTCATTTGTCGTCGATGTCGAACGCTCAGTAGTGTCTCTCCAAATGTATTTACTGTTGATTTTTGTATTTTGCCAATAGCTGTGACCCTAACAGGTGCTACTACCGCTCATTTTTTCAGGTGACGCCGCTGGATGATCGGCGAAAAATATCAAAGTATTTTTTTAATTTTTAATTTTTTTTAATTCTCTCCAACTAATATTTGGCACGCATATTTGCCTAGCGTACAGTTTACACGCATCTGTGTCCCCCCCCTTCTTTTTTTTCTCTTTTTTTTTTTTTAGCAATAGAAGAGGTCTATGATTTGTTTTCTGTTTACGATTGAGTTTTCGTTTTCTTTTGAAATCTTTTCACTCTCTTTCATTCCCGTTAGCGTCTGGCATGTCAGTGGCATTATCGCCTTGCTTGTTATGATGTAGCAATTAATACATTCAATTTAATTTATCAGCCATTTAAAAAAAAAAAGAGTTTTCTACATTAATCACAATTAACTTGAATATTTATGTCGACCTTTCAAGTGATTTCTGCTTTCCCCCTTTCTCCAAAAGATTTGAACATATCAATATATAAAATTGGCTGATTCGGTACTGACGATAGCTCTTTCCATAACGGTAACGATAAAACTATCACGTGACCGACATTTATTTATGCCCACCGGTTCATAAATGGAGGTTACTTCTTACTTGAGATTTACTCAACCGCAAAATGAAAAGAAAGTCGGTGGTAATGGGGATGGGGGAGAAGAAAAAGAAAGAATTCCAAAAGCGAGAAAGGTCGGAACACTCCGAGGTCAGCCGAGCGTGAATGTCGTTAACTGCGACTGGACCGGAAGTAACGTCTGGTTCTTGATATCATTTCTGTGTCAGGGGTGGGCGAATGGGCGACAGCAGATTTCCGGTTGCCGTCCTTTGTACAGCTTCTCCAAACGGTCGTCAATTGAGTCCGCAAACATTATCGAAAATGACATCGACCCTCAGGGGAGCAATGATTTTCGTTTACCGACTGACCATAAAACATCATTTAGCCCGAGAAGATGGTTAATGTAGGCAAATATCTCTCACCAGTACGATGAATAACATTTGGCGCTTAGAGATACAAAACACAAGCAAAGCCATATCACTTTCATTCT